TATGCACTGGGAATCAAAACATTTGTATGACTCATTTTATTGCCATATTCACTTTATTGCAATGGTTTGGAAGTGAAACTCCAGTATCTCTGAGGTATATATACCTCTAGGTCCGTTAAGGAGGTAATTAAAGTCAAATGAGGTCGTAAGGGTAGGGTCCTGATCCAATATGACTGGTGTCCTCATAAGAAGACACAGCAAGATGCAAGAGCACAGAAAAAAATTCCATGTAAGGCTACAGAAAGAAGGCCATCTGCAAGATAAGGGGAGCTTCAGGAAAAAAACAGACCTGCCAAAACCAGAAAAGCAATGAAGACAACGGGAATGCAAAATTATGTCACTCGGGCCAGGCATGGTGGCTCAGGTCTAACATCCAGCACTTTGGGAAGCAAAGATAGGAGGATCTTCTGAGGCCAGGAGTTTGAGACCAACCTGGGCAACACTTTATCTTTACAAAAAAATTTTTAAACCAATTAGCGAGGCATAGCAGCACGTGCCTATAGTCCCAGCTACTCAGGAGGCTGAGGTGAAAGGATCACTTGAGCTGAAGAGTTTGAGGTTGTTGCGAGCTGTGATACCACAGCACTCTACCAAGGCTGACAAAGCGAGACTCTATCTCAGAAAAAAAAAAAGATTCAATTTATAAAACGAGCATTTTGATAATAACATTTAGTATACATAGTAAATGAGTTTTAAAAAACCAAACCAAACAATTCCTAATACTTAGAGTTGCGCAGAGGCAGGATGAAATACCTCAAGAGAAAGTAAGCATCCTCTCTCTAACACTGTTCAGGCTAGCTATATGACCAATTAATGGAATGTGAGAAAGGAGATTTTTCCTTTTTTATTAAATCATAGCTCTGTACATTAATGCAATTATGGGGTACAATATGCTGGTTTTATATACAATTTGAAATACTTTCATCAAACTGGTTATCATAGCCTTCACTGTATTTTCTTAGTTATTGTGTTAAGATATTTATATTCTTAGTAGATTTAACATGTACCCTCGTAAAATGCACCATAGGTGTGGTCCTACCAATTACCCTCCCTCCACCCATTCTCTCTCCTCCCTCTCCTCTTTCCCCTTTATCTTGGGCTATAGTTGGGTTATAGCTTTCATATGGAAGTCTGGGTGCGTATAAATTAGTTTCATAGTAGGGCTGAGTACATTGGATACTTTTTTTTCCATTCTTGAGATACTTTTGCTAAGAATATGTTCCAGCTCCATCCGTGTAAACATGAAAGAGGTAAAGTCTCCTTCTTTTTTTTTTTTTTGCAGTTTTTGGCAGGGGCTGGGTTTGAACCCGCTACTTCCAGCATATGGACCTGGTGCCCTACTCCTTTGAGCCACAGGCACCACCCAGTCTCCATCTTTTCTTAAGGCTGCATAATATTCCATGGTGTACATATACCACAATTTATTGATCCATTCATGGGTCAATGGGCACTTGGACTTCTTCCATGACTTAGTAATTATGAATTGGGCTGCAATAAACACTCTGGCACAAATATCTTTGTTATAAAGTGATTTTTAGTCCTCTGGATATATACCTAATAGAGGAACTGAAGGATCAAATGGCAGGTCTATTTTTAGATCCCTAAGTGATCTCCAAGCATCTTTCCAAAAGGAACGTATTAGTTTGCATTCCCACCAGCAGTGCAGAAGTGTTCCCTTTTCTCCACATCCACACCAACATCTATGATTTTGGGATTTTGTGATGTGGGCTAATCTTACTGGACTTAGATGATATCTCAAAGTAGTTTTGATTTGCAGTTCTCTGATGATTAAGGATGATGAGCATTTTTTCATGTGTCTGTAGCCTGTGCGCCTGTCTTCTTCAGAGAAGTTTCTCTTCAAGTCCCCTGCCCACCCTGAGATGGGATCACTTGTTCTTTTCTTGCTAATACGTTTGAATTCTCTGTGGATTCCGGTTATTAAACCTTTGTTGGAAACATAACCTGCAAATATCTTCTCCCATTCTGAGGGCTGTCTGCTTGCTTTACTTACTGTGTTCTTAGCTGTGCAGAAGCTTTTCAGTTTGATCAGATCCCAGTAATGTACTTTTGGTATTGCTTCAATTGCCCAGGAGTCCTCCTTATAAAATATTCTCCCAGGCCAGTTTCTTCAAATGTTTTCCCTGTACTTTCTCTTAGTATTTTTATAGTTTCATGTCTTAAGTTTAAATCTTTAATCTAGTGAGAGTCTACCTTAGTTAATGATGAAAGATGTGGGTCCAGTTTCAGTCTTCTACAGGTCACCAGCCAGTTCACCCAACACCATTTGTTAAATAGGGAATCTTTTCCCCACTCAATGTTTTTAATTGCCTTCTCGAAGATCAAATAATGGTAAGGAGCTGGGTTCATCTCTTGATTCTCTATTCTGTTCCATACATCTACCTCAATGTTTTTGTGCCAGTACCATGCTGTTTTGATCACTATCAATTTATAGTATAATCTGAGGTCTGGTAGCGTGATTCCTCCTGATTTGTTTTTATTTCTGAGTAATGTCTTCGCTATTCAAGGATTTTTCTCATTCCATATAAAACAGTATTATTTTTTCCAGGTCTTTAAAGTATGACAATGGTGCTTTAATAGGGATTGCATTAAAACTGTATATTGCTTTGGGTAGTATGGACATTTTAACAATGTTGCTTCTTCCCAGCCATGAGCATAGTGTGTTTTTCCATTTATTAACATCTTCACCTATTTCTTTTCTTAGAGTTTCACAGTTCTCTTTATAGAGATCTTTCACGTCCTTTGTTGGGTAAACTCCCAAATATTTCATCTTCTTTGGCACTACTGTAAAAGGAATAGAGTCCTTGAATGTTTGTTCAGCTTGACTATTATTGGTATATATAAAGGCTACAGATTTGTGAGTAATGACTTTGTAACCTGAGATGTTGCTGTATTCCTTGGTCGCTTCTAAGAGTTTTGTAGTTGAATCTCTGGGGTTTTCCAGATATACAATCATACCATCTGCGAAGAGTGAAAGTTTGATCTCCTCTGACCCTATGTGGATACCCTTGATTGCCTTTTCTTACCTGATTGCTATGGCTAAGACTTCCATTACAATGTAGAGAGGAGATTTAAATATCAGAGATATTTGGACTAACTCATCTCTCCATTCCTTCTAGTCTTTGGATGCTTTGTTTACACCTTTATTTATTCTTTTTTTTTCTGAGACAGAGTCTCAAGCTGTTGCCCTGGGTACAGTGTTGTGGCATCACAGCTCATAGCAACCTCAAACTCTTGGGCTTAAGCAATTCTCTTGCCTCCGCCTCCCAAGTAGGTGGGACTATTTTTTGTTGTTGTTGCTATTGTCTGGCTATTTGTTGTTATTGTTGCTATTGTTGTTTGGCAGGCCTGGGCTGGATTTGAACCCACTAGCTCTGGTGTATGTGGCTGGCACCCTAGCCGCTGAGCTAAAGGCGCCAAGCCTACTTATTTATTGAGACAGTATTTCACTCTATTGCCCAGGTTAAAGTGCAGTAGCCACATCACAGCTCACTGCAACTTTGAATACCTGAACGTAAGCAATCCTCCAACTCAGGAGGATTTGTAGTAGCTGGGTCTACATGTACCACCATATACAGCTAATTGTTTTCTATTTTTTTCAGAGACAGGGTCTCAGACGTGCTCAGACTGGTCACAAACTCCTGACCTCAAAAGATCCTCCCACCTCAGCCTCCCAGAGTGCTAGGATTACAGGCCTGAGCCACCGTGCCCAGCCCTACAACTTTATTTATACCTAATAAAAATAAAATTATATTTTTCCCTAAGGGAAGGATCTAAGAATAAGAAAAACTACTTTGGATTTCTGAGGTTTATGTAAGCCTTAAGAATTTTTCTTCTCTGTTCTCATTTTTTTTTTTATTTTGGCTGGGGTTGGGTTTGAACCCGCCACCTCCAGCATATGGGGCTGGCGCCCTACTCCTTTGAGCCACAGGTGCCACCCTCTCTGT